TCCTCGTAATATGGTTGTAAACATAATATTGTTTAGGTCAAGATTTAATGTTTGTTATCATGACTATAAATGCTAGTCGTAACTGAGCTGTGTGTGAAATACTCTTTACTTTTGATTTTCTGCACAATTTTTGTTGATCTTGGAATTAATAATTGCCTTGATATTATTCAGTTGCTTAGCTTTCCATGCACCTGTCCTAATTCAATCTCATATCCTTCACCAGTTGTCTAAAATTCATCTGCATGCATCCAGACACTTCTGAAGATGCATCTCCAGGAGCCTTGCCACCTGCTGTAGCCTGCACTGATGGTCCTCTCCTGGTTTAGCCTACGGTCTCATGCAGGATCTACTTTCACCAGATCCTGGGATTTCCTCTGCCTTGCGCCTATCTCGATCTTCCTGTTTCCTGTATCTTCCTCTTTCTTGGTTAATTTCCTCATTTTGGTGGAACACATCTTTAGTAGCTTCCTGAGAAAGGAGGCATAAGACTTAAAATTTTTTAAGACCTTACATGTCTAAAAATGTTTTTTTCCCCTTCATGTTTAAATGCAATTAGAGGTTGGAAACAATTTTCTTCAGAATTTTGAAGATATTTCTCCATTGCTTTTTAGTCTCCAGAGTTGCTTTGGGCAATTTGCAGCCAAATATTCTCTTACCCACCCCACCTTGGACCCCCCCCAACATTTTTTTAAGATTTTTTTTGTCACTAATACTTGATATTTTGCTGTGATATATACCTTAATATGAGTCTGTTTCCATCCTAATTTTCATGTGTTGGACCTCGTATACTGGTCTTTTAATTTTTAATTTATTCTTTCTTATTTTTCATCTTTTTTATTTTTGCTGAAGTTTCTGAATGACTTACTGAACTTGATCTTCCAGTCCTTCTATTAAGTTTTTTTATTTCAGCTATCATAGTTTTAATTTGTTGTTTTCCAAAAGTTCCTTATATTTTTAGTTATTTATTGCTTTATGGATGCAATAGCTCCTATCTCCCTATATTAATGATAGTGTCTTAAAAAAATGTTTCCTTCTCCCTGCATGGTCTCGGATTCAGCCAAGTAGTTTTTTTCTGTTTGTTTTGTTTTCTTTCATGATAGAGTCTTCTTAGATGACAGGTGATTCCTGCTTGTTTGCTTGTATTTGAGAATGGGACCTTAAAAAGATGGAAGTTAGTTCTGCATACAGATGTGGGGCTTATTGACGTGGGCTTCACTTTAGAGCCATCTGTCTAGGCTGTTTCCTTGGGGAACCTTTGGTGTCAGTCCTTTTAGATGCCGCCTTTTATGTTAGTCCAGTCCTTGAATAGGGAGGTTTCATTTGGAGAGGCTAGGCAGGGTAGAGGGGTGTATTAGTCAGGTTTCTCCGGAGAAACAGAACCAATAGGAACTATATACACACACACACACATATATGTGTATAGATGCAGATCTTCCTCTATTTACGATGGCCTTATGTCCCGATAAACCCACAGTAATTGGAAAACGTTGTAAGTCGAAAATGCGTTTAATACACCTGACCTACCGAACATCATAGCTTAGCCTAGCCTACCTTAAACGTGCTCAGAATACTTACATTAGCCTACAGTTGGGCAAAATCATATAACACAAAGCCTGTTTTATAATAAAGTGTTGAATATCTCATATAATTTATTGAATACTGTACTGAAAGTGAAAAACAGAATGGTTGTCTGTGTACAGAATGATTGTAAGTGTACCGGTCGTTTACCCTCGCCATCACGTGGCTGACTGGGAGCTACGGCTCACTGCCACTGCCCAGCATCAGGAGAGAGCATTGTATGGCATATCCCTAGCCTGGGAAAAGATCAAAATTCAAAATTTGAAGTATGATTTCTACTGAATGAGTGTTGCTTTCTCAGCATTGTAAAGTTGAAAAATTATAAGTCGAGTCATCCTAAGTTGGGGACCGTCTATATATATTTATTATAGGAGTTGGCTCATGTGGTTATGGAGGCTGATAAGTCCCATAAACCGCTATCTACAAGCTGGAGAATCAGGAAAGCCAGTGGTGTAATTCAGTCCAAGTCCGAAGGCATGAGAATCAGGGGCTGATGTCTGAGGGCAGGAGAAGATGGATGTCCCAACTCAAAACAGAGAGATTGTGAATTCACCCTTCCTGCACCTTTTTGTTCTATTTGGGCCCTCAGTGCATTGAATGATGCCCACCCACGTTGGGAAGGGCCATCTGCTTTACTGAGTTCACCAATTCAAATGCTGATCTCTTCTGGAAACACCCTCACAGACACACCCAGAAATAATGGTTTACTAGTTTTCTGGGCATCCCTTAGCGCTGACAAGTCGACACATAAAATTAACCATCACAAGGGGTATGTGGGCTAGGGAAGATATGAGTCATTTTTAAAATATTCCCTTAATTTCTCTTTTTTTGGTAGAGTGCCCCTTACCTTATGCTTTGCCTGTTTTCCAGACCAGAGATCCTCTGCCTTACCTCTCCAGAAAATAATTCTCCAGGCTTCTGCACGAGTAGGAGAGGGCAGTTGCCTGGCTGAGCACAATAAAGAGGAGTATTAGTACTTGATTCCTTTTTCTTGCCAAATAGTATTCCATTGTATGTATATACCACATTTTGTTTATCTATTCATCAGTTGACAGACATTTGGGTTCTTTCCATTTTTGGGCTATTATAAATAATGCTGATATGAACATTCCTGTATGAATTTTTGTGTGGACATGTTTTTATTTTTCTTGAGTACATACCTAGGAGTGGGAATGCTGGATCGTATGGCAGCTCTACATTTAAGTTGTTGAAGAGTTGCCAAACTGTTTTCCAAAGTGGCTGCAACATTTTACGTTCCTCCCAGGCACATATGCAGTTCTACTTTATCTAACTCTTTGTCAACACTTATTGTTTGTCTTTTTGATTTTAGCCATCCTAGTGGGTATAAAGTGGTATATCATTGTGGTTTGGATTTGTATTTCCTTGGTGGCTAATGATGTTGAGCATCTCTTCATGTGCTCAATGTCCATTTGTATATCTTCTCTGGAGAAATGTCTGTTCAAATCCTTTTTCCATTTTTAAGTTGGGTTATTTCTCTTTTTATTGTTGAGTTGTGAGAGGTCTTTATGTATTCTGGAACTGAGTCCTTTATCAGATGTATGATTTACAGATATTTTCTCCCATTCTGTGAGTTTTCTTTTCACTTTCTTAATAGTGTCACTTGAAACAGAAGTTTTTAATTTTGATGAAATATGATTTACCAATTTCTTCTTCGTCACTTGTGCCTTTGGTATCATATCTAAGAAAGTATTGCCTAATGCAAGGTCACAAAAATTTATGCCTATGTTTTCTTTTAAGAGTTTTATAGTGTTAGCTGTTACATTTAGGTCTTTGATCCATTTTGAGTTAGTTTTTGTATATAGTGTGATATAGGGTTCCAACCTTATTCTTTTGCATGTGGATATCCAGTTATCCCAGCACCAGTTGTTGAAAAGACTATTTCCTCATTAAATTGTCATGGCATGTTTGCTAAAAATCAATTGACCATAAATGTAAAGGTCTGTTTCTGGACTCTCAATTTTATTCCATTGATCATGTATCTGTTGTTATGCTAGTACCATACTGTTTGATTGCTGTAGCTTTGCAGTAGGTTTTCAAATGGAGAAATACGAGTCCTTCAACTGTGTTCTTCTTTCTCAAGATTGTTTTTGCTACTCCAGATCCCTTGCATTTTTATATGAGTTTTAGGGTAAGCTTGTCAATTTCTATGACGAAGTTAGCTGGGATTTTGATAGAGATTATGTTGAATCTGTAGATCAATTTGGGGAGTATTGCCATCTTAACAATATTAAGTCTTCCAATCCATGAATATGTGAGGTCAGTCCCTTTACTTAAGTCATTAATTTCTTTTCAATGATGTTTTGTGGTTTTGCTATACAAGTCATTCTTTTGTTAAATTTTTTCGTTAAGTATTCCTTTTGATGCTATTGTAAATGCAATTGTTTTTTTAATTTTGTTTTAGCATTATTCTTTGCTGGTATACAGAAATATAGTTCATTTTTAAATATTGATTTTATACCTTACAACCTTGCCAAACTTGTTTATTAATTCTACTCGTTTTTTTTATTTTTTAGGACTTTCTACATATAAGAACATGTCATTTGTGAATAGAGATAGTTTTACCTCTTCCTTCTCAATCTGGATGCCTTTTATTTCTTTTTCTTGCCTAATTTCCCTGCTAGAACCTCTAATATAATATTGAGTAGAAGTGGCAAGAGCAGACATCACTGTCTTTTCCTCATCTTAGGGGAGAAGGCATTCAGTCTTTCACCATTAAGTATGATTTTAGCTGTTGGTTTTTCATAGATGTTCTTTATCAGGTTGAGGATGTTTTCTTCTATTTGTAGTATGTTGGATATTTTTTTTTTTTTAAAAAAGAGTGTTGGGTTTTGTTAATTTTTTAAATTTGAGATGATCATTTTTTTTATTCTATGAATATAATATATTATATTGATTACTTTTCAGATGTTAAACCAACCTTATATTCCTAGGATAAATCCAACTTGGCCGTGGTGTATAATCCTTTTTGTATGTTGCTTGATTTGGTTTGTAATATTTTATTGAGGATTTTTGTATCTTTATTTATAAGAGATATTGGTGTGTAGTTTTCCTTTCTTGTGATATCTCTGTTTGGTATTGGAATCAGGCTAATGCTGTCCTCTTAGAATGATTTGAGAAGATTTTCTTATGCTTCTATTTTTTTTAAAGAGTTTGTGAAGTGTTGGTATTAATTCTTCTTTAAACATTTGGTAGAATATATCTGGGCCTGTGCTTTTTTTAGTGGGCAGTTTTTAAATTATTAATTCAATATAATTTCTTTTTAAGACCAATTATAAGTGAACATTCATCTCACAAATACCTATTGATATTTGGTTATTCATCCAACCTTTCTCCTATATAATATCCAAATAGAAAGAGATTTTGATATACCTGCTCATGACTTTTTTTTTCTTCTATTAAAGGTCTGTAATTACTCTGGAATCAATAAGCCATGGCATCAAAGAAGTTTGCTATTAAAGTAAGTAATGCTTAATGGCCTTCTTTAAAATGGTTAATCACTTTCCAATATAACTGAGTTCTGTGTTCATTGAAAATTGAAGCTCTGAACTTTCCTTCTACCCTTTAAATTTGGGACTCTATTGAAAACTAAGTAGGCGATTGAAAATTTGCATGTTAACAGTGCGATGGGGAGAAAATTAATAGTTCATATGGTTATGGGAGTTTCTTGCTTAAAGTCTTTTGTAAGATGCCCTTTGGTCATAACTTGGTCATTTTTAATGTTAAAAATTATCGTTCACATCGCATATCCATGACATGATTTTTGATTGTGACAAAGCAGATTAAAGTAAAGAAGTGGGCAGCCAATGCTGCACTTGGGTGAGTACTGAGAGAGACTTCTCTTGCCTGGCTGCCCTCTTTTGTTTTCCTCTCGTTAAGTGTCTCTTCTCTATCCCTTGATAGCTGGGACTGAGACTTTCTCAGGTGTGGAGGGATGGGAGGATCACGTGTGAGAGGTGGTGGGGAAGGAGGGGGAAGAATTGATAAATAGTGAGTATAAGGTTTCGGAGATGCCTTCATATATGTTGGCTGTTCTTTAGGACATTTTCTCTGTGCTAGTGTTATATAAAGTACAAATTCAAAACACCAAAATAGACAAATTACAGTAGTTAACCAGATCAGATACTGTTTAATATTGTTATATCTTATTTTTGCCAAGTCAGTGCTTATTTAGATTTATAAGATATTTATAAATTTCATTGATTACAATTATTTCTTGCGTTCCTGTGTTCTGTAGTATTTCTTTTTGTGAGAGATCTTAAGTGGTGAACTTTCACTATTTGTCTGTCTAAAAATGTATTTTTGTCTTACTCTAGAAATTTATTTAGTTGGTTTTAGAATTCTAGGTTGAGCATTATTTTTCCTCAGCACTGTATTTTTCCATTGTCTTCTGGAATCTGTTATTGCAACTGAGAAATGTTTTAGTTATCGATTGATGTTTAAAAACCACCTTAAAACTTAGTGGCTTAAAACACAAGCCATTTCATTCTCTCTCATGATTCTGTAGATTCCCTGGTATGAGTTGGGTAGTTTCTCCTTTTGATGATGGCAGGGGCTACAATCATCTGGGGACTCAGTTCAGCTGGAACATCAAAGATGCCATTCTCACGTATGGCTGTCAGTTGATACTGGCTGTGTTTGGGATCTTCCCTGGGGCTATTAATTGTTACCCTTCAGTTCTTGTTTACGTGGCTACTCTGTGTGGCCTGGACTTCTCCTAGCATGGAGGCTGAGTTTTGAGGGATGGTGTCCCAGAGCAAGAGTTGCAAGAAGAAAGAAGTATAATTTGCCAGTTCTTTGAAGGGTTAGGCTCAGAAGTCTCAGATGCCACTTCCACTGCATTCTATGGGTCAGAGCACTCAAAAGACCAGTCCAAAGGAAGCTGCAGCTCTTGATGTGAGAAGCAGCCTGTGCTCACAGGGAAGGGGAGAATTGTGGGGTACATCTGAGGAGACTGGTCACTACAGAAGTCTGCTGTCAGCCTCACTGCAGTTCTTTTCTTAGTTATCAAATTTTCCCTCTAGTTGCTCTTAAGATTTTATTTTTGTCTTTGATTTCAAGTTTCACTATGAAATCTTGAGCTATAGACTTGTTATTTATTTTGCTTGGGGTGCGAGGTACAGCTTCATTTGAAAGATTCAGGTTCTTCATCACTTTTCGAAAATCTTGACCATTTTTTCTTCAGGTACTGCTCTTCTTTATTCTCTCTGTCTGGAACTCTTAATGGAATTTGTTGGATAGTCTCATGTAATAGTTTCTTATGTGCTGGAGGGGTGATATTAACTTGTCCAAGACTGAGCCCCTACAGGCTGTCTGGTTAGAAAAGGACTGGGCCTCTTGCAAGGCTTTGCCAAAACTGGCTATGGCCCTATAGGGCAGACAGTCTTGGTCACTGCAAAGCTTGGATCCCAGGCCCCTAATTATGCCAGAGACGAATCTATTGATTTCCAAGCCATACATACTGATGTAGCAAATTCTGCTACCATATTGCCTCATCTCGCAGCCACACCAGCAAGGCTTGGAACCTAGCTCCCAGATCATGTTAGGCAGGGAAATTACGCCAGCCATGAGTATCAAGCTCACAGGTTAGGGCTAGAGACAGGGTTCTGCTACACTATACGGAAGATTCTACCCCTCATGTTGTGATTGTATCCCTGCCTCTGATCACACAGGCAAGAGGCTAGTGCTTCTGTAATCATGCAGCTTAAAAGCCCCACAACCCAAGCATTGGGATCCCATTCTGAACATCTGACATCCTGCCCTGCCAGATTGCTGTGCACTGCCCTAGAGTGTCATGGCACTTGCTCATCTGCTACTGATGCTGTCACCATGTGCCTTCTCTGATGGACGCTGCTCCAGCAGGCTTGTGTGAGTGCTGCTCAGCCATTTGCCTTTTCCTGTATCTCTCCTCTTTATGTCTCTATGTTGCATTCAGAGTGCTTTTTATCAGACCTCTTCCAGTTCATTAAAATCTTCTCATCTGTATTTAATCTGTATTTAGTCTGGCACAAAGTTGGTATTTTTAGTATTTTCCAGTATTTTTCTGCTGTTCTCTCCCCCCAAGGTCCTGGATGGATGGCAAGCTTTCATGTTGCTTCCCTTGGTCAGCAAGCAGAGAATTTTTTTAGTGGCATTTTCATGAAGGCTGCAGTTTCTCAAAAGAATGAAGGAAAAAGCTCTATTGAATAGTTTCTGCTCTAAGAAATTATGGACAAACTTACCCATATGAACCAGAGAGTATTATGTGAAGATATCTATAAATTGAGTACTTATTTATGTGTCAAGCATGGTACAAAGAACTGAAAGTTGAAGTTCTTCACAACCCTGGGCTTAACTGAAATGAGTTCATTCCCAACTCCCTTTTCACTTCTACCTCTTTTGGATATTAGGATACCAGCTCTCAGCTATCCTGGCTCCCAAATATTCTGACTGCCAGGCTTGAACCTTCCAAAGGGGTGATTGCTTTTTTTCCTAGCTTTATTGAGATATAATTGACATATAACATTGTGTAAGTTTAAAGTGTACAATGTGATGATTTGATAAATGTATATATAGCAAAATGTTTACCAAATAAGGTTAGTTAACACATCCTTCACCTCACATAATTACCACTTTATTGTTATGGTGAGAACATTAAAGCTGTACTCTCATAGCCACTTTTAAGTATACAACACAATATTGTTAACTATAGTCACCATGCTGTAAGTTAGGTCCCCAGAACTTATTCGTCTTATAACTGGAAGTTTGTACCCTTCGATCAACATCTCCCCATTTCCCCCACTGCTCAGCACCTGGCAACCACCATTCTACCCTCTAGAGTCCATATGTATGTGAGATCAGACAGTATTTGTCTTTCTCTGACTTATTTCACTTAGCGTAAGGCCTTCAAAATCTAGCTGTGTTGTGGCAAATGGCGGGATTTCCTTCTTTTTTTATGGTTGAATAATATTCTGCTGTGTATATATACCTTTTTTTCATCCATTAGCTGTTGATGGACACTTAGGTTGTTTCTGTATCTTGGCTATTGTGAATAATGCTGCAATGAACATGAGGGTGCAGATATCTCTTCAAGATAGTGATTTCACCTCGTTTGTGTATATACCAAGAAGCGGGATTGCTGGATCATATAGTAGCTCTATTTTTAGGTTTTTGAGGAACCTCCATACTGTTTTCCATAGTGGCTGCACCAATTTATATTCCCACCTACTGTGCACCAATCGGGGTTCCCTTTTCTCCACATCCACACCAGCATTTGTTTATCTGTTGTCTTTTGATAATAGCCATTCTAATAGGTGTGATTTGCATTCCCAAAGGAACTTCTTAAGGTGGAAGCTTTTGGAAGATTTTGAGCCCTTCTTTTTTTTCTAATATATGCACTTAAAGCTATAAATTTCTCTCTCTACCTTAATTGTATCCCTCTTGTTTTGAAAGAGATGCAGTTAAAGGACGGATTTTGTTTTTCAAATAAAAATATTTTCTAACTTTTCATTGTGATTTCATTTTTGATCATGGGTTATTTAAATGTATATTGTAGTTTCTAAGTATTTGGGAATTTTCTTTTCTTTTCTTTTCTTTTTTTCTGTGAGAAAGATCAGCACTGTGCTAACATCTGCCAATCCTCCTCTTTTTTTTTGCTGAGGAAGACTGGCCCTGGGCTAACATCCGTGCCCATCTTCCTCCACTTTATATGGGACACTGCCACAGCATGGCTTGCCAAGTGGTGCGTCGGTGTGCACCGAGGATCCGAACCGGTGAACCCCGGGCCGCCGTAGCAGAGCACGTGCACTTAACTGCTTGCGCCACTGGGCCGGCCCCGGGAATTTTCTAATAATCATTTTGTTATTGGTGTTTAGCATAATTCCTCTATTTTGGTAAATGTTCCATAAACACTTGAAATATGTGGTGATTGTCACGTGCATTGAATGGTATATGTCACTTAGGTCAGGTTTGTTAATTGTGTTGTAAAAATCTGCTATGTATTTACTAATATTTTTGTTCACTTGTTCTATCAGTTGAGAGAGGTACATTAAAGCCTCCAACTATGATTTTAGATTTGTATTTTGTCTTTTTGTTGATATTTGGTTTGTGTATCTTGAGCCTATGTTAATAGATATGTACAAATTTATGATTGCTCTTTCTGTTGAATTGACTCTTTAATCATTATGAAATGCCTCTTTTTATCTCCAGTCATACTTTATAACCTCAAGTCCACTTGTCTGATATTAGCAGGGCCTGTATGTGGATCCCCCAACCAGATATCTGAGTCCCCAATGGATTTCCACACTCCAGCAGTCAATAAGTCCTGGTAATGTACAATAATGTACACAGAGTTTCCAATCAGCATTTCATTGTCTTTTCTTAATTATGAATGGACAAAAGAGTGTTACCAGAGATTTAAGGAAAACTTGAGAAACAGAGAACCAGAGAACAGAGAAAGAGAGAAAAAAATGAACAAACTTG